AAGCACCACTACCTTTCCTGAGGAAGAATGGGTTGTGAAAGGTCGACCGTAAAATCTGTACACTTCGACCGCCACAAGGTTGACCGTGACCGCCGGCACATCGTTCCGTACAGCCGAAACACTTTTTGATTGCCAGTTAACTGACCTTATATACCCCAGGGCCCATTAGGAATAAATAAAATAGCACTGCTAAATCTACGAGATCCTTTCAAAACTAAAGCTTTCAACATCCGTGCCCTATGTCAAATTGATAAAATTACAATGCTTACCAAGGCTTTGTACTTGCACAAAATTGATGTATACTGTGTCTTTGAAACACGCATAAAAGACTCAAGTATGGTCATATATCCCAAAATGGCAAGAGCGAACTTAGCTCTTTCACATTTCCGTGTTTCCGGCGATCCAAAGCGACGACTCATGTATTATATCGCGCGGGAGTTGCATTCAGCCCCAGAACTGAACACGCTTTTCTGGATTGATTGCACAGTCGTTTTTGCGCAATCCGGTTATCCAACTCAATCAAGCCTAATGTCTTTTAGCCTGAAAAATGGTGCGTGTCTGTAGTGTCGGCTTATGCCCACACGGACTGCAGTTCTGATGGCGAGAAGAATACTTTCTATCGTCTGTTATCCCGGCTCATTCGTCAAGCAAGAAGCACTGAAATTGTGATCCGTGCGGGCGATATGAGTGCCAGAGCATGTTGTCTTAGCTCCTTGTAATCACATCTGGGCGATCGCTTTAAAGTCGTGCTCGTCGCGCAGACAGCGGAGAGCGACTCTTCCAATCGTGTACTGAGTATCAGCTGTTTCTGGCCACTACAAACTTTCAGCATAAACACCCGCCTTGCGTAAACTTACAGCCATTACGTGCAAATCAGGCATGGACGCAAATGTATTGTGTGACTGTCAGCCGTTGGTGGAGGGCCAGAGTTCAAGATGGCCGTTCCTTCTTGGGCGCACGAATTCATTCCGGTCACGCTATAGTGCCAGCACGCCTACAGTTTGTTTTCCTTCAGCCCATCTCAAGTCAGCAAGAAAAATGCCAATCCACCATCTTCGTAGAACTAACGTAGCTCACCAGTATCATTCTGAGCTAGCTCAACTGTTCTCTGCTTTAAGGCAACATTACACTTTTATCTGAAATTTGGATAGCATGGTAACATGTGATAGGAGCGATGCTAGTGGCGTTCAATACTCTGTCTGACTCTACGACTCGATGAAATGACCACTGGATGTCATCGAGGTCGCTTGCACTGAGAAGTGCCAGGAAATCCATATTATCGGGCAACCAGAACGATGACTCCCATAAATATCCCAAATACCAAATGGGAAACGCCGTAAGGGAAGATCACGGGCTTTAATAATAAATAATCGTTCAGCTGTAACACCCTTTTGGTGCCTGGCTGCCTTGCCGCGCAAACGAATCAAGAGGGCTGGGATATGAACGCTGTATGAAAGCCACCTTAGCATTATCCGGTCAGCTTCGGCGTCGAAGGTGATCTCTTGTCTTATTCTTTGAAGGTTGGCTGAACACAGGGTAAGACGTATACGTGATGACCAAGCTGGATTCTGTCTTAGTAAAGGATGCATTGATCACATGTTTTCTCTTAAAGATTGTGGAACAGCGACATTTCCTCCAGCAACCAATAATGTTAGTGTTCGTATACTTGAAGCTGCCTTTGACTCTGTGGACCATCAGGTACTGTGGCTGTGTCTAATGTGCAAGGGCACTCAAGTTCTTGATCCTCTGTAAGACACTGTTCTCCAGCTCCCGAGTGCACATGGAGATATACGGGAAGCTATCATCTCAGTTCACGACATCAAGTGAGCCCTTGTGAGGCAAAGTCGTCCTCTTTCAATTTTTCTCTCCAACTTCACCATTGTGTACGACGACATAGCTCTTCCCGGATCTGATGCTAATGTTATGCAGGCGATATCAAATAATGTAAATTATTTCGCCTCACGTTTTCGCGTGCTCTTCACACCTGCAGGTTGTTGCGTGATGCAAGACTGGGTGGACTCGAACCTGAATTTTATCGCGATTGAGGTAGTAGGCACGTTTGTGTACTTTGGTAGCTGCGTCAATCCAGGTGGTCTATCTAAAGACGATATTTCCGCCCTAATTGGGAAGGCGAGAACAGATGTTGACTTGCATCACCTGTAGTGCAGACGTGATACTAGCTTGCCTTGTAAGAGTCAGGCTTACAGTGCTGCAGTGCACTCCATATAGTTATATGGGTTAGAAACCTTACCATCGGTGTTTATGATGAGAAGACCGGATCAGTAATACTGAAGAAATAGTTTTCCACTCCATATAGTTATATGGGTTAGAAACCTTACCATCGGTGTTTATGATGAGAAGACCGGATCAGTAATACTGAAGACGTCGAATAGTTTTCGGAAGAAATAACTTGAAAGATGAACTGACCACTCTACAGGTCGTGCCGTATTGATCACGTAGTCCATATGCCGGTCGACTGACTCTCTCGAACAGCTCTTTTTCACACAACCACGCTGCGGTTGGAAACGGGCCGGGGGGTGTCAAGCAATCAAGAAGTTCGAAATGCGAAAGCCTTACCATTAAACCAATCTGCACTGGTTACTGCCGTCTTCCTAGCTGGGGAGCCCGATGCAGTTCAATTTCGATTCATCAGCTATAAACCGTGTGCCGTAGGCACGTTGGTTCCAGCTGCTACAGTTTCGATCACCGGAAAACGAGAAAGTGGAGCATGCCTTGGAGGCAAAGGCATGTTCAGTTTGTTCAGAAATTGGGTAGCTGCACGCTGAAGGCGATAGCTTTGGTGTACGAGCCCCACTCACTGCGCGATTGGGCCATTTCCGCCAATGCATTAACCACTGGCGATTTGAGTCCCGGGGTCCCTATCCAGGGAGGCGACAGTTGCTCACTCGACTGGTTAGTGTTTCCGTACTTCGTTGCTAGGTCAAACACCGTCCATCTCTCGGTCGCTTCTATTCGGCACCGACGGTCTTCTGGTGTGCGGACTACATATTCTAACCAGCGCAACCTATGAAGCGTGAGTAATTAATCCATCGCGAGAGAGTTCCTTCTTCCCAAGACCATCTGGGGTACCTCAGAATCACTAATTCGATGTTCCCACCAAACCCGACCCTTGCTGCGGAGACACCGATGACCAAACACTGACATGTTCCGTATGTCCTCCGCGCGTAGAGACCGTGTCCCTGATCCATAAAGTAGTATGGATCGCACCACCGCAGTGTAAACTCTTCCCTTGACAGACAAGTTCACGTCACGTCGGCGGCACAGGTGTCGGAGGTTGGCGAAAGCTGCTCTGGCCTTTCCGATTCGAGAACTAATCTCATCTCCAGCTGGTCCACTGAAACTTATACAGCTGTCCAGGTAAACAAACTTATCTACCATGTCGATTAGCTCACGTGCGACCATGAGGTGTGGGTTGTAGTAGCAGTCGAGGAGCTCCATTCGGCTGATATTCTTTTTTCGTTCCGAATCTCCTGCAGTATGGTTTTTAGACTGTTTACCAGGACCTCCCCACATTTGAAGAGCGCAGGGTGTAGACCATCCAGGTCAGGGCCTTATCGCGCTTCAGGATTGAAACCTCACGCTGGATTTTGATTGCTGATGGTATGCACTGGTTACTGCCGTCTTCCTAGCTGGGGAGCCCGATGCAGTTCAATTTCGATTCATCAGCTATAAACCGTGTGCCGTAGGCACGTTGGTTCCAGCTGCTACAGTTTCGATCACCGGAAAACGAGAAAGTGGAGCATGCCTTGGAGGCAAAGGCATGTTCAGTTTGTTCAGAAATTGGGTAGCTGCACGCTGAAGGCGATAGCTTTGGTGTACGAGCCCCACTCACTGCGCGATTGGGCCATTTCCGCCAATGCATTAACCACTGGCGATTTGAGTCCCGGGGTCCCTATCCAGGGAGGCGACAGTTGCTCACTCGACTGGTTAGTGTTTCCGTACTTCGTTGCTAGGTCAAACACCGTCCATCTCTCGGTCGCTTCTATTCGGCACCGACGGTCTTCTGGTGTGCGGACTACATATTCTAACCAGCGCAACCTATGAAGCGTGAGTAATTAATCCATCGCGAGAGAGTTCCTTCTTCCCAAGACCATCTGGGGTACCTCAGAATCACTAATTCGATGTTCCCACCAAACCCGACCCTTGCTGCGGAGACACCGATGACCAAACACTGACATGTTCCGTATGTCCTCCGCGCGTAGAGACCGTGTCCCTGATCCATAAAGTAGTATGGATCGCACCACCGCAGTGTAAACTCTTCCCTTGACAGACAAGTTCACGTCACGTCGGCGGCACAGGTGTCGGAGGTTGGCGAAAGCTGCTCTGGCCTTTCCGATTCGAGAACTAATCTCATCTCCAGCTGGTCCACTGAAACTTATACAGCTGTCCAGGTAAACAAACTTATCTACCATGTCGATTAGCTCACGTGCGACCATGAGGTGTGGGTTGTAGTAGCAGTCGAGGAGCTCCATTCGGCTGATATTCTTTTTTCGTTCCGAATCTCCTGCAGTATGGTTTTTAGACTGTTTACCAGGACCTCCCCACATTTGAAGAGCGCAGGGTGTAGACCATCCAGGTCAGGGCCTTATCGCGCTTCAGGATTGAAACCTCACGCTGGATTTTGGTTGCTGATGGTGGGTTGATGCTAATGTTCCACTCTGGTCCGCTTGTTTCTTCCAGCGGTTTTGTTGAAGGGACCAGGTGAACTGTTATTTGAAGTGCTCGGCCCACCGCTCAAAACGGCGATTGTGGGAGTGAATTGCTGTTCCGTCTTCTTCGCATATTGTCTCACTGACACCTGCCTTCTTTCGCCCGTTGATCGGATCAGTTGAAACAGGGCGCGGCTGTTGCCTGCAGCGAAGGCCCTCTCCATCTCCTGGGCCTTCGAAATCCACGAGCGTTCTCTGTCATTCTTTAAGTTCCTGATTATCCGGTGTTTGAGGGATCTGCGTGCGCCAACATAGTCACTAGTTGCTAGAATGGCCTTTATGGCAGTAATAAGATCTGCTGATCTCGAAGATAACCAGTGTTCACTGAGTCGAGTCAGATGGATTGGACAAACAGTTCTAAAAGCTGAAGGCATTGCTTCTTTAACTCGCTTCCATTCATCCTCCAAGCATTCGTCGTTTACATGACTGTACGTTTCTCGTAGCTTTCTAGCCGGATCAACTCGATACTTTTCAGCCACTGAAAACTTGTCCAATTTGATTAGCAGAGCTGCTCTCTTTCGGCACTCGTCGTGCTGGTGGAAAGCGAAAGACTAAGCGGGGCCGCACGATGTCGTGATCAGAGTCAAGTTGCGTACCTTAGAAGGAACGACAATCCTTAACTGAGGCTCTCGTCTCACCCGTCACGATTACTATATCTGTCCGACCGAGGTAGTCGTGACAGATCTTGATAAAACTCCTTCTCAGTCTCAGAACTGCTATCTGTTGGGGCTGATATGACTGATAGGATGAACAAACACCGTTTACCGCATCGACCTGCATTAATCTTAATTGAGACAGACAAGCGCAAAGGCGACTGTTCACTAGAATCCAGTCCAGTAAGGCAGAGTGCAACTCCTACACCATAGATATCACGAGCGATTGCTTCAGGGTCACGGGATGTTCGAAGACATCGGTAGAGAGGGAAAGTAAGGTTTCAGCAAGGGATGTCTGTTGTACATCGAGTACGGACATTGAACGCTGCAACGTGGTTCAGATCTTTTGAGGTTAGTAGGTGACTCTTTTTGTTCATTTTTCTGGGTGTTAGTTGAAACACGAAATAGTGGCTGGGGGAAACCGATGCAAGACACTTCAGTGAGTAAGGGCACGGCGCATGGATAGAGTCTATAAAGTAAGCTTGATCACTACCGCCCAGGACACTTTTCCTTGACGAGATGTTCAGAGCTTTTTATTTTAATGCTGTCAGAAGGCACCTACTTCTTGATTGTTCTTTATGGACGAAGGTCTTCTGCGCACCTAGTCCATATCTCTCTTGCTTTCGACTCCACGAAGGCTTTCGTCGCACATTGTTTGGTGATCTTAACTGGTGTGTTGCTGTCAATGATAGTGTCGGTGAACTAACTGCGTACTGCTATGCTACCAACATGACCTACACGGAGGTAGGCTAGGATGGAATTGTCTTTTCGGATCTTCGCTGTCTTGGAGTACCTGAACCCTCGGCTGATCGTTAGGAAACTGAGATCGAAAATATCGATGATTAGCTTACATTTGGAATACTCACCAGATACATATGGATTAATTAGTGTCTGCAAGTGGATGCAAAGTTGCCGTGTTGTCCACAATTCTTTGTGGCCACGATTCATGCATAGCATACCGACTTCATATGCGAATCAATTCCATGTGTGTTGTCCTTCAAAGGTTATGCGCATCTGTTGTTTGGATCGGGTTACGAATGCTCCATTTCTTCAGAAAGCAAAGACTTGTGAGCATAAAAACTTTCTGATCCACAAGCGTGCGAAATGTATGACTTTAGGTAGCATTTTGTGCTCTGTGGGCATTTGGAGAATGAATCACGAGGCTGAGGAAAGCGAAAACAGACCTCGTATGAGCTTAGGAATGTTATTTCGACGTTATCTCATGGGGCACGCGGGTGACGGTAGGCCATTCATACAGGATAACATATTTCGGGATTATTTGTTTTGATGCTGGAACGTAAATCGCCTATTTGTAGACGGCTCACATGAACATCTCAGCGTCAGTGTACTTATTAGGATTGCCCAAACTACATACTCCTCCTCATGGATGGTTCGGAATTTCAGAACACCGACTTTCCCTCGACGCATCAGTCGCTAAGCGCCGGTGGGTAAGTTGGAACAAGTATACAATGATTCCTAAAAGCAAAAACATTTCCATCGTTTCAGAAGAGCTTGGTAAACAATCGGTAGTTTTCTATTTGGGCAACGTTTCGCTTTTGACACAAAAGCTTCATCAGGCCACCAAATCGGCCAGGTTATAGGGTAGACGGTGAACTAAGTCCTCTTCAGATTACCATACTAGACCAGTGTTGAGTTTCAATTAGCGGCCCTTATTGGGTAATTTGGTTGTCAAAATCTTGCGTTGATGGATTGGGGTAGTTAGAACTAATTCTGATCAGGTTTGTTTGGTTAATCTTCTACTTCAGGGTACCTCAATTGATGACTCACTTCGGGTGCCAGTGGTAGATTTTCCTTGGTCTTTGTGGGGTTGTGAGTGCTGTGACAATTTAGTTTGGGGGGAGTGAGGTTAAATGGAGTTCAGATGATGACCTACCCCGTCTGATAACCGCACACCAACACGTGTCAGCTCGACTGATCCAAAATCGTTCTCCACACGCTTGCCAGTTCCACACCCTCTATTCTGTTAACGCTGGTGCGCTTGGCGATTTCTACCACCTCGGCTATCAATCTCTGTGACGTGGACCGTAATCCTGTCTTTAAAACCGTAACATTTTCTAAATCTGCAACGATGACTTCGCAACCGGTTCCAAACTTTTTTCCAATTGACTGAAAAACGTTTCTGCTTCACCTGTACTGCCTGTTTATCTTTTATGAATGAAATAGTACAACCCCCCGGTGTGTATGTGTGTGTGGTTTCATTATATTTTACTGAGGAAGTGCAGTGTCCTGCTGCAGCTTGAGGGATTTGATGGATGGTACCAGTATCCCTTTGCCTACTGCTGTGTCAGTGTTGATTTAAGTGGCAACGTACTTAGGTTGGATTTCTATAGGTCCGTGCTATTTCGCTTCCTCCGATTCACAGCGGACTCATTACATGATACACTAGCAGATCCCGCTTCGCGAAAATCGCAGGCGTCCAATGATACAACCACTGTTGACATGTGAGTGCCTACCGGAGGCCAACTAACTAATAATAATAAATAATAATCGTTCGGCTGTAATCTTTCGATGCTAGCTGCCGGCTGAACAGTTCAGCTGGAGCACTCTTTCGATGCCTAGCTGCCGTGCCACCTGAAGCAAGCACGAGGGCTGGGATACTGCCAGGTCGCCCAGGCCTAGACAGGGGAAGTCGAGTGGCAGAGGTCGGGTTCGAACCACGGACCTTCCTCTCAGTAAATTCGCGCTCTAACCACTTGGGCCATCTCGCCCAACTAACTGTACGACTCCAGATCGGAACGGCCACTTCTGACAAGCTTTCCGGGTGTTGGATTCCAGGTCGCAGTGTAAGTGATTTCTATCTGTTCTGCAACTGTACATGGAATGGTTTGTAGTTATTTTTGCCGTGCAATTCTGTCAGCGCACAATCCTGTTATTCCAATTTCAGATGCCATGCTTGCATGGAAACCTCCCTATCTCGCGTTAAATATGTACCTTCGTGGTCGACTACCCGGACTCTGTCAACTTCGTCACACACGTTCTCCTGAGTAAGTTTGAATCGGACTGTTTTGTATTTTAGACTGTTGAGGCGGGCACTTAGTCATATGCTACTGGGATTGGAAACCAGTTGTGATGATACAGGCGTTGCTTTAGTCAGTACCAGAGACGGTAGCATTGTGCATGAACATGTGGCTTCTCAAACGCGATTGAGTGTCATGCATGTTTCGTGCCTTTATTTTGACGTTCTCTGTAGGCTAGGAGGTGTGCTGCCTACTGTCGCTCGAGAGTTTCACAAAACAGCCATTGAGCACCTCACATCCTCTGCTCTAGCCAACTCGGGTGTTGGATGGAAGGTGAATCCTGTTATTCAACTTCATCAACGTCGCGTAGGACATAGATGGTATTGCGGTCACCGTGAAACCTGGTATGCCAATGTCTCTCAAAGTTGGGGTTACGTATGCAAAGCAGTTGGCCGAACTCTATGGGTTGGAGTCCCTTTTTTCTCAATAACCTTCATTTTCAGAAAACCTTTAATTCCAATCCACCACATGGAAGCGCATGCTCTCACAGCGATGCTAACTTATCCATCGTAGGTTCACATTCTATACTCTTTCATCTTTCAGCAGCTGTGAGCTACTTTTCTTGCCTTCACTAATTCCGTGCGACCCCGTACGTTAGTTACTTGGTAATTGTTCCTCGAATCCCAATCCCCCTAGGAAAGTTACCTCGCTTTAAGGGCTCTCGGGAAGCTCTGAGTTTTTTAAGTTCAATCTCGCCCGGTCCAGTGCAACATTTACACGCACAGACGAACGTGAGCCTTCGTATAACATTCCCGCTGGAGTGAGATGAGGGAATGGATTGTACTGGTTAGCCGATTAGTGTTCAACTACAACATTGGTTTCTATCCCCGGCTTGCAACGTGAACGTTTTAGTCTCAGGTCACATGGCGTGTTTAAAGGTGCCCGCAACTGAATATGTTAGACAAATACTTGGTTGCTGATATTTGGTTTCGTTCATGGCTGACAGTGTAAACAGAGACTGCCGCCGGTCGCCAAAACTTGGAACGCTAGGTTTTACGATTAAAAGGATTTAGTTGAATACTATTTCAATTCAAGTCGAGCCTGACAAAGCTCTATTTACAATGAGGTGAATGTTCAGCATACTATTACGGAATTACTTGAAGATGTTGCAAACATACATGTCGATTCACCACTACAACCACGCTATATTTTTGTCACGTTTGTGGGTGATACGGCGAACAATCCGTCAACTGCACAGTCTGAACTACATCCATGCTGTTGCTGATGATACAACAGGAACCAGTAGTCAAACGCCTGGGTTGAGTATTACATCATTCTCACTGTTCTTGTCTATCATTCGGTCAGCTCGGTTTGAGCTTTCACGGTTCCCGAATCACTGCCTCTTTCTGCCTTGAGGCATTTCGCTCTGTGGAATCTGATAAGTTCCCACTAGCATTTTTACACAGTCCTTTTATTAGATTAAATGGACTTGCTGGAGAACAAGAAAATGTTTCAAATAACTGGAATCGATCCACCATAGTGTCTTTGATAAAAACCCATGGCCGCTGTAAGCTTGGTTGTAGTCTTAGACAAGGTATAAGTCAATGTTAGCCGTCATTGGCTTTCGGTTCTCGACTTCGTCACTTTAAAGAAACTGCACGAAAGGTAAACTAAGTTTAAATTGGGTAGATAGTTCAGTATCAATAGCCCGATCCAGAATTTTTTTGCACTATGTTAGATGGACTGCCTCCCAAGGTTAGTGCCTTTAAGGAGAGAGTAGTCTGGCCACTCATATTGAATTGTACCTCTTGTGTACAATCCATTTTCAAGCCCACGACCTTGGTTTCGCAGCCAGTATAACAACCTTCTTCCTCTGCTGTAAAAACGACGAACGTTTCGTGCAGCTTCGGCCACAGTTTCATTCACCGATGATCTGAGGAGATATGGGTAAATAGTATTGGAGACAGTAGCTGATATAATTTACCCAGAATTTAGACAGCCGTGGAAGTGACTTTTGTGCGTGAAAGAAGTGCGTATGATCAGTCTGGTTTTGTCTGGTAAACCATCGCGCCGAATATCGATGTTTTCAGTCAGAAATCTGACCTGAACGGCTTTTTTATGTACATTGTGCTCAAGCGACCTGTAGTTACTACATATGGCTGGTGTGATGGCCAAGGTGAATTTACTGGCCGGAAGGTTCGTGGTCCGAACTCGACCTCTGCATCTCGATCCTGTCTAGGCTCCGGTAAACTGGCAGTATTCCGTTTTTTGTGCTTGCTTAGGATGGCGTGGTAGCTAAGCACCAAAAGGATGTTTTAGCTGAACGATTATCTTTATTTATTATCTTCGTGGCTGACTTAGGAGCCTACGTTGTCTTGCAAGAAAAAGATGTTGAAGAATCATTTGTCCGTCTAGTTCTAGATGTGAATTTTGAATTTCAAACAGGTTTCAGTATTCTGCATAGTACCTCCTGTTGCGCCTGCTCACTCAGCGGCGGATCAAGCTGCACAGAAATTAACACGAAACTAAGTCATTTCACGGGTGCGAACAGCAATCTGTCGTAGGAATCACATCCAACCGAGGAAAACGCACGGTATGACGCATGCAAATTCCTCAAATGCCAAATGAGGAACACCCTAAGGAAAGATCGAGAGCTTTGATTGACATCGAAAGCTCATGAGATGCAGAAGGTTTTTGTTCATGGAAAGAGCTCGAGATAGCTCAGTGGTTAGAGTGCCAGCTTACGAGCCGAAAGGTCCGTCCAACCCCCGGCGTCTCTTGTCTGGGCTTTGGCAACCTGTCAGTATCCCAACCCTCATGCCTTTTTACGTTGACACGGCAACCAGGCACCGAAAGGATGCCATAACTGAAAGAGCGTTACCGGAAACAGCAGTGCCTTATATCAGTTAATACGATCTACTGGCCAGGCGCAAACAATGAAACGAGAGTGAAAAAAGACGGCTGATTGATCCCCTCGCAAAAATGATGAGTATAAAGATGAGCCGAACACTACGAAAAACAACTGGCCTGGCCTCCTGCAGCACAGCCCTTGAAGCCTGCATACGGGCAAATGGAGTCTAAACCTTATTCACCCTCCAGAAGAAGAAATTAATTACGGAATAACTATTCTTAAACGTGAAAATGTACCATGTCCAGACGGTCTGTATTCATCCCTCTTCAAAGAAGACAGAGAAACCCCGGCGACCCTTCTGGCAAAATTCATTGATGCGGAATGGATTGAGGGGAAATTGTCTGTGGAATTTGGCACGTCAGAAATATTTAGGAAGGTTACACGGACGCTGTATGAAAGGCACCTTGGCATTATCCGGTCAGCTTTGGTATCGAAGGTGATCTCTTGTCTTATTCTTTGAAGGTTGGCAGAACGCCGGGTGTGACGGATGCAACATAGCCTTTAAAGATGGTGCTTACGGACGAGTGGAATGTAAACTTTAATCCCCGGTCAAGGATCTTACAAAACTCAGTGGTGCTTAATGTGCTGAAGAGAAGGTGCCTGCAGAATGGGGCATCTCGATGGTGTTCCTATTTCAAAGGGGTACGCGGATACTGTGTGTTGTATCAGCCTGGTAGCTGCAGCATCGAAGATACTCTTTGATCTTATCGTTCGAAGGTTAACTGAACATTGGGAGAGGCAGATCCGTGAACACCAAGCTGGGTTCCTTCGTGTTGGAGGACTTATTGATCACGTCATCTTCCGACTGATTCTGGAACAGCGCCCAACAGTGGTTGTGCTCCTTGACCTGAAAGCTGCCTTTGACTCTGTAGACCGTCTGGTACTATGGCAGTATCTGTGGCCCAAAGTTATCCTCCATGAATTCTTGACCCGCATGCGCACTCTGCGCCAAGTTCCACGGTTTTGCGTTGATCTACGGGAAGCTCTCGCATGGGTTCACCACAACAAATGGTGCCTTTCCCTTTCAACTTCGTCATTGATACGATTATTGAATGCTCACCATCAGCCTTTAATGCATGTGCGGTAGAAGTTCTCCTAGAGCATTCACTCACAGTCATCAGGTACCCAGACGACACAGCTGTTCTTAGATCAGACACCATCGTAATGCAAACGAAATTAAGTAATCTAATTAATTCTGCCTCACGGTTTGGCATGTGCTTCACACCTGCAATGTGTAATGTACCACTGTAAGATCGGGTGGGCTCGAATCCCGAACTCATGCTTACCGGTGTGTTGATTGAGTTAGTAGACAAATTTATCTACCTGGACAGTTGTGTCAGTCCGCGTGGTCTCGCAAAATATGATAAACCCACCCCGATTGGGAAGGTGAGAGCAGGTTTTGTGGACCTGCACTACCTGTGGCGTACGTGTGACATCAGTTTATCCTTAAAGGGTCGAGTGCACAATGCTGCGGTGCGCTCCATGTTACTATATGGATCAGAAACCCGGCCGCTGCTGGCCGAGGACGTCAGAAGACTTTCAGTGTTTGACCATCTATGTCTTCGGAGCGTTGTCCGAGTCTGCTGGGAATATCGGATCAGTAGTGCTGAAGTACGTCAAATAGTTTTCTGAAGAGATGTCTCAGTGGTTAGAGTGCGAATTTACTGACCGGAAGGTCCGTGGTTTGAACCCAGCCTCTTCCTCTCATTTTCTGCCTGGTCTTGGGCAACCTGGCAGTATCCCAGCCCTCATGATTCCTCCGGGTGGCATGACAGCTAGGCACTGAAAGTGCGTTACAGTTGAACGATTTTTTTCTGAAGAAAATACTCGCGCACGACTGATGGACTGATCACATCGCACAGGTGGTGCTGGTTTCGGCACTTTCTCCACGTACCAGTCGACTGGCTTCCTCGAAGGAATCTTTCCGCACAACCTCGTAAAGGTTGGAAGCGAACCATGTGAAGTCAAACAATGACTTAGAATTAAACTTTGGAAGCCATTACCGTCAAACTCGGCTGCGCTGGTCATTACCATCTCCCAGGATGGGGACCCTCAGACGGTACACGTGGATGGTTAGGGACATGGCCTTGTCATGCTCTCAGTGGCGCTCTTCCATCCAAGCTGTTGCCTTATACGCGTAGCTCCCTTTCCAATCTCTCCGATTAAAAGTTCACATTGAACGCTATACTTATGCATCAATTATATCATCTACTGCTTCCAGTGTGCAGCTATCTGCTCCACCTCTCCAAATCATCGGTGAATGCCATTTTGGCAGTTATAACCACTGTACGACAGGTACGCGGTCATTACCGCTGATGAACACAGTACGGCTTTTGTGGCGACAGGTGGCTTAGACAATGTCTACCGTTGTCTATCGACCTTGTATAGCGTGTTGTTCTCAAGGAGAGCGAAAATTTGTCCCGCCGACTGTTTTGCTCAGTTCTCAGCTATATTTCTTTTATTGTTATTTGACCGTTCTGATTAAGGCCCAAGGGTTTTCATGTCATGATCCTGCTGGTTGCCTTCTTTCAGTCAGGGTTATTTATCAGCGAGTCCTGCTGGTGTGTTATCACCCGTGATAATTGTAGTGCTGAGGCTGTTGTATCTAGCGCAAGTTTATACATGAACACTATTGTCGGTTGTTTAGCATATTCTTCGCTAACGGGTGCTCGCTTACCGAAATCGCTTGTAAAACCCTTCTGCTTATGGAGCGCTATGTCGCGTTTCGTCTGAACTCCACCCAGGTGCACCGGGATTGCGTTTATCCCTAGGCGTGTTGAAGATCCATTGACCACCTAACTTCTATCTACGAGTTCTTGCTATATCAAGCTAGATGTGCCTTAAGCTGGGTACTTTGATATTATGCGTCCAATTACGTCTTAAACACCGCGATCTTTTTTTCAGGCATCAGAAAGTCAATTCTTATAATACGTCCGTCGTGATTGTCATGATACGCATTACTATATGTATTACGCTACTGCGGCTGGTTCAACTCCCTCTTTCGAGCGGTGCTCTGAATTGAGACTGCTGCTGCACAAGTGACTCATTCTACCTGTTTAATGAATTGTGATCACCAGGTCAGAACCGGTGAGCTCTAAAGACAGAAATCTCGTTTCCTTTCTGGGACACTGCATCTAGGTAACATGAACCCTTCATCTAATAACCGGAAGTTTACCTATGCATTTACGCTTGGGAGATTGCGCTCCATAGTCAGCTCATGTTTTTTTTGTCCCAGGCTCACATTCCCTTATCTAGTGCTACTGCTCAGTGGAGGTCATGCTTTGTTAGCACTGGCCCGAGGTTTGGAGGATTTCGTTGTACTGGGCACGGCTTTGGATGCGTCGCCTGGAGAGGTGCTTGACAAGGTGGGTTCGGTACTATTTGATGTTTTATTTCAACATACGTAGGATGTTAATTAGGGTGCGAACTGTATCTGAACACATTGTTACTATAGTTCTTCATGAAATATGTACACACCAGGCCTGGCCAATTAGCCATGTTCTTCAGGCAATTGGGGGTGGGTGGTTTCACCTACATATGGAATATTGATGACTTCATGTTGCTAGCTGATATAGTGCTGACCCTGGCAACCTGCATAGACGTCTCCTGTTTCATATCGCCGGACAGTCCGTGTTCTATTTTTTGAAGATTGTTTACCTGTTTACAAGTAGGACAAGAATGGCCACTTCTCAACCCTAACTTCTTGTTTCTACTTCCAGGAGCGCTATGTCTTGAATTCATTCATTTGGTGGTAAAGCCCAAAGGCTTCCATTGGATTATTCAGTCTTTGAGTAACCCTGGATTACCATGAATTACCACTAAAAGATCTTAAGCAAATGTGGTAGGTTAGCACTGTTCAGTGCACATGTAGAATCCAGCGGAATATGAAGGATCACAAAGAGCCAGTTTTCTCTGCTGTTTTGCTCTACTTGTCGAATATACAAAGGAGATCGGTAAAGGCATCTGTATTGTAGGCACTGGACAGCTGGGACAGAACGGTTGGCATGGATAAGAGTACCGTAATAACGGGGGCTGAACAACAAGACCAGGAAGTTTGGTTCTCGAAAAACCCAGACCATATAAAGAAACAACAGGGATTATCGATCAATAACAGCAATCGTGGCACGTTTTAGCGTTGTAGAGAACTGCGGTAGACGGTCAATGTAGCAGTTCCGCTGCAGTAAGCGTTATGTCAGCTCATGGATTCGAGCCTACGGCAAAACGTAGTATACAGGAGGATCAAAGGACGGAAATGGTCTGTGGAAGTCGTAAGATCACTAGAGGAAACAGTACCAGAAGAAACTCAGCCAACAAACAAAAGGGCGCACGTAATGCAGAGCAAACACCAACCTAATAGACAAATCATGTTTGATTAAACGATAGACGATAGTTCAAGCGATGCATCTTAAGCATTCTCCCAACTCATGCGTGCATTGTACTGGTGTATCTTCTATTCCCTTCGTGTGATTCTTGTTTTGACTAGTCTTCACCTAGTCTTCGTCACTAGCATCATTATCGTTATCATGGACATCAACACCAGCCTAAACACTGTTGTTTCTTTGATTTATAGCCATATTTTTTATAATATATATAATATGCAGGTATTCAGACTAGTTGGTTAGTCGCTCAGTTGTAACACCTTTTTGGTGCACAGCTGCCATTCCGCCCGAAGAAAGCACGAGGTCTGAGATAATGTCAGGTCGCCCAAGCCTATACAAGAGCAATCAGGATGCCCGGGACCAACTTCTGGTCAATAAGTTCGCACGCTAACAACTGAGCCACTTCGAGCTTATTTGAATTATCTGGAATAGAGATGTGTGCACATGGTGTGGATGTATATGCCTAGTTAAAACCCGAAACAGTAAAGAACCAGCACAGTTGTAAGGCCAGAGCTCCGTTTCCATTTTAGAGTGGGAATTCGGAGGCACTTATGTCTCTAAATATCGGACCAAATAACCTGGATAGAGACTGGAAAATATCATCAGCAGGTTCATCCTACGACGTGTCCATGTGGGTGCAAGATGACTTGTAGGTACCTCACTTTGGAAAGTATCTCTTCGTGACTATCACCATACTTGTCAGCCCAATCTGTACCTGTTACTTTAGATGAAACCCTTCTCATTAGTTGATAGTTTAGCTCGTGACCAAGCTACTTGAGGTATTTTTTTGTATCCATCCTTCACTCTAACCACTCACTTATGGTGTAACCGAACACGTTTTATGATCAGTCATCAAACGTAACCTGAGCACTCAGTTGGTCAAATGTTTCTCCTCTACGCTTCTACATTTCATTGGCAATACATTTTTCTCTACTAGCTTGCACGCCGTCTAAAGTTATCTCGCCTTGGAGATTCTCGTTTGAGTTCCGTGAGTGGAGGTCGGGCTGTTGAACTACTTGCTGCCGAGCACAAAGCCAGTTCTCCGCTGTTCGAAATACCTCTTCCTCGTTCACAATCTCGAGACTGTGACCTTTCATTCACTGGCATTCAACTCAATTTTGAAAGGCTAATCAGCAGATTGGAGGAAGAATTGGTAGGTACGATCATACCACCTCAAACTAAATTTCACGTATTTCATTTTCCACAATCGGTTATCAATTTACGGCGTGGTCGTTTTACATCTAACCGCTTACGTTGCCTTCGTGAATGAAGCTATTTCCAAGTTAACCGTTTGTTGGCATTGACAATTACTTTCCCTCTTATAGACCTTACAGCCGTGTGGAGGTGCGGTTTCAATATCTTTTGCACTAGCATTTTTGCTTGTGGTAGACAGCCAATCAAAGTAAAGCGGATTTCGTCAGCCTCCAAGCAAAAGTTTGCAAACTGGGTCCCAATAGCTGTCTATGTTGGTCCATCGACAGTTGACCTTAACGGTCAGTTGATTATTCGCTGCTATGGATCCCGTAAATGGGCCGATTCACATTCACCTACTTGTCTTGTACCCAGCTGTATCAAGGGGTCAGAGTCCTGTATCTTGTTGTATTTGCTTACGCCCGCCTTGAGCAGTTGTCCGTTAATAGATGGCTACCGTAAATCGTGAATACCGCTCTCTAGTAGAACTCCCACTCGTGTCGTCCAAGTAAGAATGGTCATGAAGAGTAACGAAACAGTAGTAAATAGGAGTGTTCAACTATCATGTAATCTTGAGGTTTTGCGGGATAGGTATGTTTTTTCATAGCCACACACTCGTATGGAACGGCCGTGTTCCTGTTCTGGCGTAATTATTCCGGTGAATCCACACCAAAGGGAAGCACTGAACTCGAGTTTCGCTCTTATTAGAGCTCATCAGCAGTGCATATCCAATGACCGTGCCGGGATTTGAACCCCAGACATCTGACATTCGAGGCGAGCGTGTAACCACTACTCCACCAACGCACGTTGGACGCATCTGAACTATCACGTCTGAACAGGCGGACGTGTTCACACTTGAGCGATGTGATTGGTGTGCCCGTTGGAGAACAAGTGTTTGTTGCAAAATGCTCTTCACCGAACCTCATATTCAGTCTACTTCTTATCGTTTTTCCTCGAATTAAACTACAAACAGCATTTACCAGATGACTTTAAGCGTAATGGTTCAAGCTGGACACTGATGTATTGACCACGGAAAATCCCCATTAGTTGCAAGGGTTTTCTCTTTGGAGGATACAAAAAATGTATACTCAGGGCATTCTTTTGATAGGTTACTCATATGAACCTTCAGAAGTTTCATAGCTTTTTCCCGCTTTCCACTGTTTTTAGCAGCTTTTTTAGTGTATTCTATTCAGTACATTTGTTTTTGCGTGACCGAGACAAACTGGTACCACGTGATGATCTTATAAACTATTTTCCAATCTATATCATTTGAGTCATGACGAATGGGCATTTTTCGTGCAACTTAGTTAAATCCTGATGAAGAATTCATGACAATATAGCATTCTGCACGAGGATTCACTGCGTTCAGAACACTTCTCACTATCGGAAATCGACCTATTTTACGTTGTTTAACTCTGTGTTCCAGCTTCACTGTCTTACATCCATACCAAACTGTAACATATCGCAAATTTAGCCGCCGTATGCGTTCCGCACATATGAGTGTCGGCCGAGGCAACTATGGTTCACTCAAGGAGAAACTGCGGCAGTAGTAGTGCGTTTGTGTGACTGGCTATTTAATACGACAGTCGGCTTCTAAATTTGGACTAATAGAGAAATGTATATACATCAAGGAAGCTGCTCTTGGGGAACAAATGCTTTTTTGATGGAGCTTTACACTCTTGTTCTTCTCAGAATGCAATGGAAGTAGCTCCATGCCGCCAAAGTGTTGTTGGCGAATTTCAGGTCGTCCGTTCGTGGTTTTGAAAGCCGTGTTCAACTCTCATCCGTCCGGTTCTTAAGACAGTATCGAGTCGATTGGAACGGAGGTTTCGCACAAAGATACAGACCTTTCCTCTTCCGCTGCCCACTTTGCAGCGAGTTTACGACTCTTCTATACCAAATACTCTTGATCTCTCAACTTGTGGACAAGTTCCTACATAGATACAGTGTTTGCATGTGTCCATAAAACAGACATTTGTGTAACAAGCCTCAGACAGGGTATCCTTTTTCCCTGGGTCCTCTCGTAAATTACTCTTTCGTTATCTTTCACTCTCTGAACATATGACTTTCACTATCTGTTATGTAAGTCCGAACCATGAGTTTGGATTTTGTGGTGGTTTTTAAGCCGTTTTCCTCTTCACTGGATGATGACGTGCCGTCTTTTCTCTGATCAGCTGGGGTTATCTACAGCACATCTTCCATCCTCTTTTACTAGATGTCGACCCCCGTAGCCACAGCATACTTCCTGTCGATTGTCTGGCAACTGTGTGCGCATCCCTTCAGTCTGCCGTAACTCTTTTGATCTGCCGATGTGTTCAACGAGGATTTGAGTTCCTTCGATCAAACGGGTCTGCGGACTTTCCCTGGCCAACAGCATTGGTATGTGGACCGCCTTAAGTTGAATTTGTTGTCACTTATCACTCTTTTAGGAACAGTGAATGATCGGTGTTGGTTTCACCAGTCCTCTCTTATGGGTTTTACTTCCTCACGACACAACTGGGGACGACATGGCTCAACTTGTTAGAGCACGAATTTATTGACCGGAAGGTCCGTGGTCCAACCTCCCCTCTCGACTTTCCCTGTCTAGAACTGGGCAACCTGGCAGTATCCCAGCCCTCGTGCATCCTTTGGGTAGCATGGCAGCTAGGCACCGGAAGGGTGCTACAGCTGAACGATTTTTTAACAACACAACTAAACACCGATATCGATCAGACTAAGTGACTTTACTTATCCGAAACCAGCTACATCGGCCTGACAATCCGTCTTTGGGAAAACAACACAGTCGTTGAAGACGCTTTCAGTAGGCAGCCTAATCTTACTTTGCTTCATCGTTCGATGCAGACATTGCAACTGTCCAGCACAGTTGGTCGGTGGCGGGATTTGTACAGTTGACCACATATGCGGGGAAAGGCCCCGAGCCATCGCAATCAGCGTCATTCTATGGAAGCAGCTCATTTTGACAATAATTTTAAACCTGTTTCAGGTATGATCGTTAGGCTTTGGAGTTCAAATATCTCCATTTTTCTCCTCGCATCCATAAAACTGGAAGGACCGGTAAAAGGTTATCAAACTCGGATTATGGTTTTTAGGCTAATCCCCAAACTACGCCACAGGAGATTCTTCAACCGTACGGATACTCCTCTAGACCAATTGATGCTTGTTCTCACATCTTCCTTCATGTGCTATGTATTCCGAAACACCGTCTATCGAGACGAGAGTTGGCGTTTTTCTTCTTCGTGTCTTCTTCAGAATGGCGCCAATCGCAAGGTGGACAGCGTATGACTTGGCAGAAAGACGTGAAAAAGATACGAAGAATTTAGGTGTTGTTGGTGTTGTAAGCCTTCCAGGATGGAGTCTACGCGACTCCGCCTGTGCCTGGCTAGAGACATTGTAAGACATGGCGGCTGATCAATGTCAGAGGCGTTCGTGCTGTCAGGTTCTTTCCAGATTGTTTGATTGAGCGTTCGGAGGTGCAGACCTCAGAATGCTTGGCATACACCAGCACTAGGTCCCTCCCCTCACCCAATCTTTTTCTCTTCTTTTCACTCTAGGGCTTTAAATATAATTAGACGAACCTCGTGGTTGCACGGCAGTGAAGCATCAGTGTCAATACTGATGCTACCGTCTTTGATGATGATGATCTTGCTTCATTTGACCATTCTATTAAACATAAGAACCGATATAATTGAATAGAGATACTACTGCGATCGGTTAGAGAAGGTAACCATCTCCGATATAAATGTCTTTTGGCGACTGCATTCAGTTAGCCCAGGACTGGGTTGACATAAAAACGAAACGAACTAAATGTATGGTAACCGCAAGTTGCCCAACTCTTCACCTCCGTTTCAGTTGTGTTGTAGCCTTTTGGTGAATTCATCCCTGTTCCTGTTCGCCTTTCCCGCTTTCTGTACATCGGCAGCTGTGGTCACAGGCCGATCCATCGCACCTATTGACTCTATACATGATTCACTGTCGAGCCAGAGCGTGATGCTTGTTTTGTTCGTGTGTTTTCGTTTTTTGCGATGATTCGCTAATAAATGACCTGTTCCCATCGTGCTGCATTCTACGTACGAGACAGGGTAGTGGCGTCAGTTTTCTGCACTATGTCCCTTCAACTGCTCCAGTTCTTCAACCGACATTCGGTATTCGGGCAGTCTAGAAGGCAAATGTCATCAGCTGCAGTTCGGCTAAACCAGTTTCCAATGCTCCACTTGTACGTGCTGGACAACAGTTTGGAACCGCTGTCTTTATGTGGTCACAGAAAGACTAAGGGTATTAGTACTATGTCAACCCTAAACGAGTATTTGGTGGTAATGGATGAACAATAGGGTGTGTGGCTAAGTGCTTATTTACCAGATGTAGTTCTTATCCACTGCGATGAACGGTTGGGGAGAGCAGTTTCATTTCATGGATTTTCTGTTTCGTCTTCAATCGTTCCTAACAAGGTCGAGGGTGCAAATGAGTATATTTATGGAATTTCGTACAGTATGAGTTCAAGTAGAACACAAGAGTGGCGGAAACTCGGGGACTGCGCCTACCAGTAGAGTCCCAAGAACGACAGAACCGGTTGTGGGCTCTCCAAGAGTTTCCAGCAACTTCATGAATGCATTGCGATATCTCTAATATCGTACTTACTGAAATATGAGGTGGCCCGGCGCAGCACATTCATTTGAGGTACATCGTAGACTTGAGATTCATCTAGGTTTCAACTGAGTCTCCCGTTTAACCCGAATTGGCGTGCATATAAGTAGTTGCCGAAGACTGAGGATGTTTCCACGAGTCAGCGGTTAATATATGGTTTCACAGATCACAGGGTCAGGGGTGTCTAGGGGCGCAACCCACTGATTCCCCTACCTAGAATATTGTTTGTGACCTTGTCGTGCAGATATAGATTTCCAAGAGCAAAATTGGGATCATTTTGAGCCCTTCTCGAATGAAAGCCACCATACGCCATCCCACTGATTCCAAATTACCTGATCCAGTTATTCTACCTGTTTGCTTTAGGGTTGCTACTGCTGTTACACGTTTAGTCACTGAGTCAGACTCCGCATCGCCAAACGCACTTAATTTCCCACAGCTTTAAGAAATAGAGCTTTTCTTTTCCACTGGAGATTTCGTCGTGTAAGTGGAGCCAGTCTTTGCTGAAAATCCAAGAATCGTTGTACAGCTGTGCCGTTCTTGTACATTTTACGAAACCCAGAGAAGTTTCGAACCCATGATCTCCTTGTTAGCGGTTTGTTCACTAAACAGTTCGGTCACGAGCGGATGATCAGCGGTGCCACTAACTCGCATTTGGACATGATATGGTGCCACTCATCCTCCAACCGCACAATCCACATCACGTGGTCACGAGTTGACCAGTCCCTCGAGTGTCGACCTCTCAGATGGAGGTTTAACGCACCTGGATTTACTCTTCATCTGAGCTACTTAACGATCGACGCTGTCATTAGAGGAAGTCGAGTGGGTGACGCGCTCAGCTGCGCACTGACGATGTCTCCTCGCCTAGGAATGCTTACAAGTTAATTCCCAAGCTAGTCAAACGAATCAGCGGCCACTTGACCAATCACCAGTAAACGTACTCGAGTTACCATTATTCCGACCCATTAGTCGCGTTGTTGATATTTGCATGATTGGCGATTCGCCTGAGGAACATCTACATAACGTGCACAACATGGTACTTCTACCAAGTGAACTCATTCAAGCCAGCGTGTCCGTATACAACTTGGCCGCGTTAGCAGTGCTTTCGCCCTTCATACATTTTCTTAGTGAGGGTCGAAAGAAAGTTTTGCCTGCATGTGTGGGGCTTTCACAGCACTACCGATTGGCATGCTTATGATGTTTTTTCCAACACTGCTTACGTTTCACTCAAAGAACCAATTTCATGCCTGGGTTCGAACCCGGTGATTTGAAGAGTTTGACAACACATACTTTGTGAATTGGTTTCGGTCTTATGGATATCATGCTGCTTTCATTAGCTCTAACCTGTCGGGGCAAACAGATCAGGTAGGAACAATTAGTACATTTTTTTTCCAAAGCCCCAGTATTGAGGTGCTTGGTCTTAATCTTTGGCTACTAAGATTGTTTGTGGGTATGTATACTTTTGTGAGCTGTCAACCTCATGATATACCTGCACTGAAGTGATTACATCACGTTCTCAGGTAGACAACGTCAAGACGTTGCTGAGTACCGCGTCGGGTAAATAATGAATAATAATAATAATAAA